CGGTCTCTATATCGTCTTGTAAATGAAAGTTCATCAGACGGTGATAATGATGTTGTAAAAAATACCCCTTGACTTTTATATACTTTGAACTAGACAAATNTTGTTGTTGTTGTTGTTGTTGTTGTTGTTATTGTGTTGTTGTTGTTGTTAGGTATATTGGTATGCTGGCAGGTAGTGTAGATGCCAAAACAGGCATTTTATGTCAAAATTAAACTCAGAAAAACCGACCAAAGTCGGTCGGTTTTTAATAAAAAAAATAAATTATTCCAAAATACCGACCAAAGTTGGTCGGTTAACCGACCAACTTTGGTCGGTATTTTGCCTGCACTGTTGAGATTACCCACCATAGTTAGTCGGTAATGTTTAATTTTAATTATTTTAAAAATATATATATTTTCAATTACCGACCAAAGTTGGTCTATTTTTTTTAATTTTAATAATTAATAGAAAAAATATAATTTAGTTAAACCGACCAACTTTGGTCGGTAAAATTAAATTAATAAAATATATTTTCGACCAAAGTTGGTCGGTAAGTAATTAAACTTGTCAGATGGTCGTTTTAAGCTACCGACCAACTTTGGTCGGTAAGCCATTCCGACCATCAAAGCACCGCCCACACCGTAATGGTCGCGTTTTGGTCGGTAATTGGCCATAACCGACCAACGTTGGTCGGTTTTTTTGGTCGGTTTTTAGCGAATTTCTAGTAGTGTAAGAACTTAGTTACAAAATATAACTATATTTTTTCTGATAAGTATAATGAAAAAAATAAATGAAAATATTACCCGAAACAAATTGACAAAAAGTTACGTTAATGCTCTTTAATTTAAAGGGACCAAATAGTTTGGCTACCAAAACCTACTTCTCAATATAATTTTAAAGAGGCTAAAAAAGGAGGAACGATAAAGGGAAATAAAGGCACAAGAAAACTTAGAGGATTGAAGCATTTAACTAATGCCATTAACGCATGAAAGTGACATAGATTATAAGTAGAAGTAGCAATTAATATATAGGCGTATTATTTGTGTCAAATTCTTCAGCTAACTACAGTTACTATTTCCCCATATCTCTCTTGACATAAATTAACATATCCATCTCTAGAAAGTTTTTGTATATTTAGGACAGTAAAATTTGTTTCAAATTCCCTTATAGGCGTATTTTTTGTGTCTTATTTGTTTTAAGAAGCGTCGGGATAAGGTTTTTTTCCTAAAGTAAAAGTTTATGTAGTAAATTTTGTCTCTAAAGTTTCGTTAAAAACCCAACAAAACCTTAGAGAAATATAATCTTAGATTTAAACCAAACAGACATAATATGATATAAATAAATCTACTATTAACAAATTCTCATGAGGCAGCTCTTTTAAATTCTTTCTTAATAAGCCGATTCTAGTTAATGCTCTTACTATACTTTGGCCATTAGACAAGATCTTACACATTGGATTTACTATATCTCCGTTGATTGGTATAATTGATTGTTATTGATATAATTAAGAATATATGATATCTAGAATTTGAAATTATGCATTTGCCAGCTATAGTTATAAATTTAACAATTTATACTTGGGTTATAACAGATTCTTATACTATCATAAATTATCATGTATTTCAAAATTTGTCACGATAAAATATCTAGACGTAATTTTCATTCGTAAGTCATTTATATTTTAAAACTTATCTCTTTGCTGACTGGAAATGTATATCCACCAGTATAACTTCTCAATCACAAAAATGTAAAATATCACATTATAATAGCACAAGAAATTATATAAACTTTAATCATACCAATATTTTCAAGATTTCAAGTAGGACATCATATAATAAACCTATAACTTTTTAAAGATTAAAAACCAACAAGGCAATCTCAACTTCCAAAACCTAAATCAGAGGAGAAAAATATGTATAATTAACATCTATCTTAGTTAGAAAAAAATGTGACATCTTTCCTTTATATAGAGTACTTCATAGATTAAAAATAATTCTACTATTCTAGATATAAAAAAATTATACTAGTAATAATCATGAATATGGATCCACCATTTAGTCCCATCCACTTGCTTCCTTCCTAGCGTAAGCTGGGAAATCAGAAAATATTACTCATATTTTTTTTTTAATAACTTTGCTCAACATTATTTTATTGGCCAACTTTTAGAAAAAGTACACTTGAAACAAAAAAGAAAATTGAGAAAAAAATGTGTGTGCGAAAAAAAAAGTTGTTTGGATAGTTTTAATAGGATTTCTTTTGAGGATCACTCACGGATAAAGTATGATACCAAAATTTATATCATATTTGGTTGATGGTATAACTTTATCCGGCGATAAAAGTATATCGTCAATCAAACATGTTATAAACTTAGTCCCAGACTTAATCCTATATATTCCATCTTATCGTACTTTATCCCATCAAATTTAATATTATTTTATCCACCTCACAAGTGGGATAAATTAGTCTAGAAATTATAATTCCAGAATTATAAACCCGGGATAATATAATCTGCATACCAAACGACCGTACTTGAAATTAAAAAAACTTTTCTTTGAATAACATTCCCAAACCACTTCTTTAAAGAGCTTCTTGGGAAAAACTTAAACAGAAACTTATTTGGAAAATATTTTTACAACATTTCAGAAATGTTTCACAAATAAAAGCCTCGGACTCACCCTCTAATTCTTTTCCTCTTTTTTTTTTTTTTTTTAAAGTAATTTTTTCAACCAAATAATCTCGTTTGATCAATCATGTTAATAATCAGACACACTTTTGTTCACTGTACAAACACCTGTAGAAAATGTCTTTTCAGCAGCAGCCTTCCCTTCTAGAACTTCAACAAAATAGCCTACTACACTTTTATAACCATTTCCCTCTTAATTTTCTATTCCTTTTTCTTGATTTTCCTATTTGTCGCCTACCATTAACGACTCCTCCCAGTTTCTTGTAAATTTCGCCCCACCCCCCCAACCACCCTACACCCCCCTCTCTTCTTTTCGCTCCCCAATTTTCAAACAAGAACAGCTTCTACAATGCCTTTGACCTTTGAATTTCTTCTTCACATATATCCCAATTTCACAAATTATTATTCTCATCCCACCTCACATAAACAAAAGAGTCTCAGCTTCATTTCTTCTCTATATTCCTCTATTACACGTAATATATTCAAGTAAGTTGTTCTGATTTACATCTATAGCTGAAGACCTATTGTATTTTTATTCAGATATATTCTTTTTGCTGTAAAGATTGTATTTCTTTTGTTGTTTTTTGAAGTGTCTCTTGATAGTTGACTTTAGTTTTAGAATACTGTAAGATTCTAAATATAAGATTTCTGTGTTGTTGTTGTTCTGGGGTTGGATTATTTTGTAGTTTGTTGTTGAGCTGCTGAGATCAGCATCTGGGCTTGGCTTGGATTTGGTAGTTTTGTGGTGACTTTGGTTGAAAATGGATTTGGCAATTCACAGTTGCTTGAGTTTGTGAAATTTTTGGAGTCATTTTTGTTTGGGTTGGTGATTTATTATCTGGGGTTTAGATGAATTTGATAAGTTTTAGTTCTGAGCTGTTGGAGGGGTCTGTGATCTTGAGATCATAGTCTCTTAACAGCAGCCTCTGTTAATTCCTTCCAAGAACTGAAGAGATTCCTTATACACCTGTTGTTGTTGTTGCTGCTGATCTGTTCAAACCATCTGCCCCTTATAACCTTAGATTGCCTTCTGTGCTGGATTCAACTAATAATATGGAGAATTCAACAGTTGCTGATTCCATTATGATGAATTCATCCTCTTTGAGGAGTGTTTCATCTAATAGGTCAAGGGCCTCTGTTGGGGGCTCTGTCCGGGAGGTAAATTTTGGTGATTTAGTATCAAAAGCCGTGAGATATGGGTCGCGAGGTGCTGACTCCGAGGGGTATGGGACGTCTCAAAAAGAGATTAGTGATGAGGATTCTAGAGTTATTTATTTAAATGATCCTGAAAAGACCAACGACAAGTTTGAATTTTCGGGGAATTCTATTAGGACTGCGAAATACTCTATTCTAACATTCTTGCCTCGGAACCTGTTTGAGCAGTTCCATAGAGTTGCATATATCTACTTTCTGGTGATTGCTATTCTTAATCAGCTTCCTATGTTGGCTGTCTTTGGTCGAGGAGCTTCGATTCTTCCATTGGCTTTTGTGCTATTAGTTACAGCAGTTAAGGATGCCTACGAGGATTATAGGCGCCACCGCTCTGACAGGATTGAGAATAACCGGTTGGCATTGGTGTTGATGGATGGTCAGTTTCAAGAGAAAAAATGGAAAGGCATAAGAGTGGGTGAAATCATCAAAATTTCATCAAGTGGTACCATTCCTTGTGATATGGTATTGCTCTCGACAAGTGACACCACCGGGGTCGCCTATATCCAGACTATAAATTTAGACGGTGAATCAAATCTGAAGACGCGGTATGCAAAGCAGGAGACGCAAATGAAGATGCCGGAAAAGGAGAGAATTAGTGGGGTGATCAAATGTGAGAAACCAAATAGGAACATTTACGGTTTTCATGCTAATATGGAAATAGACGGGAAGCGTGTTTCTCTTGGACCTTCAAATATAATCCTCCGTGGCTGTGAGCTCAAGAACACTAGTTGGGCTATTGGAGTTGCAGTTTATGCTGGAAGGGAAACTAAAGCTATGCTCANATTAAGCTGAGTTTTTTCCATTCCTCAACTCTTGTATTTCTCTCTTCCTACTGGAGGTACAAGTACTATCTTGCTACGGTAGTTTGGCATGTGTTACTTTAAATGCTCAGCAACTAGCATTACTGATTACTAGGAAATTCAATCGAATATTGTGGATGTTTGAAGCTTTAAGTTCGTAAAATAGCTAGTCAATAGCATATAGGATTATCATACTCAATATAAACTTGTGAGTGCACACACTCCTTCAATCGCAATTCTATCTTCTTCCATTTTAGCTGTGTATTAGTCAGCCTTCTTTTCATTTGACAGATGGAAATTTGAACTTTTAGATATTGGAAAGAAGTCTCTAGCACGAGCAGATCTATGATATAACTCTAGTATCTCAGTGTTCCTGATGCTATGTTGTTTTAGTTACCTACGACACAGTCTAACCCCCCCTTTCATGGTTGCAGGTTCAATGTACTGGGCTTACATGAATTTGACAGTGACCGGAAGAGGATGTCAGTAATATTAGGTTGCCCCGACAACACAGTTAAAGTGTTTGTAAAAGGTGCTGATACATCCATGTTTGGTGTCATTGATAAATCATTAAACTTGAATGTAGTACGAGCAACAGAATCGCATCTACACTCTTATTCTTCAATGGGTCTCAGAACCCTTGTAATTGGAATGAGAGAAATGAGTGCTTCTGAATTCGAGGAATGGCAGTCTTCTTACGAGGCAGCAAACACTGCTGTGATTGGTAGGGCAGCTTTACTTCGGAAAATAGCTGGCAACGTGGAAAAGAACCTCACCATCTTAGGTGCCTCTGGTATTGAAGATAAATTGCAGAAAGGTGTTCCAGAAGCAATTGAGTCCTTAAGAGTGGCAGGCATTAAAGTTTGGGTTTTGACTGGGGACAAGCAAGAAACTGCAATATCAATTGGCTATTCCTCAAAACTTTTAACGAGCAATATGACTCAGATTGTGATTAATAACAAATCTAAGGAGCCATGTAAAAGGTCTTTGGAAGCTGCCCTGACTAGGTGTGCGACTCTGATGTCACATAATGCGGAGGAAAATACTGAAGCTGGAGCAAGTCCAATTGGTTTAATCATTGATGGGACAAGCCTTGTTTATGTCCTTGACAGCGAACTTGAAGAACTGGTAATGCTTGTACATCTTAAACTCTCTCTCTCTCTCTCTCTCTCTCTCTGTATCTAATATACATTACATAAGTACACTGGTTGATTTGCATATGCTCTTTGTTTAAAACTGTTTATTGTTTGAATGCAGCTATTCCAGTTGGCCAGTTATTGTTCTGTTGTACTCTGTTGTCGGGTGGCCCCATTACAGAAGGCTGGAATTGTTGCTCTCATAAAGAACCGCACAAATGACATGACGCTCGCAATTGGGGATGGTAAGTGTTATTACTCTTTTTGATGGGCACTAAGAGCTGTACAGTCTGAAGCAATACTGATCTAAAATTCATGGTTATGGTTACAGGTGCAAATGATGTGTCAATGATCCAAATGGCTGATGTAGGCATTGGTATAAGTGGCCAAGAGGGACGTCAAGCTGTGATGGCATCAGATTTTGCAATGGGCCAGTTCAGATTCTTGGTCCCTCTTCTGTTGGTTCATGGACATTGGAATTATCAACGAATGGGCTACATGATATTATACAACTTCTACAGAAATGCTATCTTTGTTTTTGTCTTATTCTGGTAAAGTGTACTTGTAGCAAGAGTACAATTCTGGATTTTTTATTCCATAACAGTAATCAATCTCTCTTATGTTTCTCACTATTTCTAGGAATTGAGGAATACATGCTTAGGCATTAGCACTGAACCTTTCCCAGTTTAAAAAAGAAACATAGCTTAAAATATTCACTCAAGGGCTGGTGACAATCGAGTTGGAAAATAGTTATGAAGAGTTAAGTTTTAAATGTGTAATATACGCAGGGGCATTAGCCCGATTGTTTGAAATGTCTGACTAAAGTTGCATGTAGATTGTTAGTGGTCCATAATGGAGAAAACCTAAGCATGCATTTGTGAAATAATTTCTGTGAATTTTCCTGCGAGCACCAGCTGACCTTTTCTTTAATTATTGTACTCAGGTATGCACTTTTTACAGCTTTCACTTTGACCACTGCCATAACTGACTGGAGCAGCATGTTATTCTCCATAATCTATACTGCGGTGCCTACAATAGTTGTTGGGATTCTTGATAAGGATCTAAGTAGAGTAACTCTTATGAAGTATCCGCAACTCTACGGTGCTGGACAAAGGCAAGAGAGCTATAATAAGAAATTATTTTGGGTAACCATGATTGACACCTTATGGCAGAGTGTAGTGGCCTTCTTTGTACCTCTTCTAGCATACTGGGAAAGTGATGTTGATATCTCAAGCATTGGTGACCTATGGACACTTGCTGTTGTTATTTTGGTCAATATACATTTAGCAATGGATGTGATCCGTTGGTCTTGGATTACTCATGCTGCAATTTGGGGTTCTATAATAGCCACTTTCATTTGTGTCATGGTCATCGACACTCTGACATTTCTACCTGGATACTGGTAAGATCACTCTGCTGGTTTCAAATATTCTTCACATCTATCCAGTTCAAGTAGGAAACTTGTAGGATTCTCTTGATTTATGCTGACCAACTTATCAAGTCAGAGAAATAGAGACTGATTTGCATGTAAAATCATTTTCGCAGGGCCATTTTCCATGCAGCTGGGGAAGCTAAATTCTGGTTGTGCTTGCTTGCCATAACAGTAGCTGCACTTACTCCTCGTTTTGTCGTCAAAGCTTTCATTCAGCATGCTAGACCACGTGATATTCAAATTGCAAGGGAAGGAGAGAAGTTCAGAAACTTAGGAGACTCTCGGACTGGAGAAATAGAAATGAATCCAATTGTTGATCCTCCGCGAAGATGATTGAGCTTTTCTTCTGTGCCCTTCTGGCTCTTCTCCATCACTTTTGTTTGTAAAAAAAAAGGTTTTGTATTTCTTTTGGTTACTCTGGAGATTTCCTCCTTGTTTCCGGATTTTTTTTGTTAGTTTGTTATCCGAAGGATAGAGTATAGTTAGTATTCAGGTCCATTCTTTCCTATTCATGCACATTAATTGTACATTAAAACGTACTATACAAGTTATATACCCTATGTAATACCAATTTCCATCAATAGAAAGAGTATACACGCTCAAGTTTTTGTTACATTTTACTTTTGTCTTTGTGAAGATTACTGCATCTTGTTAGACTTTTCAACTTATGCCACTTCTTGCATGGTGTTACCAGGCCTGTGAATTCTAAATTTGTCCATTGTATTAAAGGGTCATTCATACTTTTCTAAGGTATACATTAAGAAGGAAGTTTTTTTGTTTTCTAGGTTTCTGCATGTGAGTCTTATGGCTAGAATTTTTCAGGCTTTGCTGAAAATTTTGATGGGAGGAGAATTTAGATTCTGATCATGCCATGTCTACTAAGAAATTAAGTTTTAAAAGGGCCCTTTTTTTCTTTCTTACTCATGAGAAGTCAACATCTAGGCCTATGAATTAAATGAGTAGAAAAAAAGTCAAAGTTTGAAATCTGCAACTAATGAAAGGTCATGAAACCAAAGAATTCACCTCCACATGATTCTTTGCATGAATTTAGCCCTTTTTGAAAAGTAACATGATATCTTCAAAGGAAAACTAGTCTTTAAAAGGGGGAATAAAGTTAAGTTGGATGATATTCCACGCCCACAGCAAGGGCCAGCTGGTCCATTTGTAGCTTAATTTATTTACATTTTCATATCAATTATTTAAACCCTTGCTAATCAATGTGGGTGAGAAATAATGGGGGACTAGAACAGTTAACACATAATATGGAAAGCTATTTAATTGCATGGACACTTTATTAGTAGTAGAGGTGGTGCCTCTTTTCTCCCTTTTCTAAGATGTCCTATTCACTGGATTAGGATTCTAAAAATACAGTTACACTTCAAAATTTGTCCACAGAATCTTTTGCAAACAAACAAAGCATCATATGTTGGCTCAAAAGTCAAATGTAGAGTAAGAGTTCCTCATGGCCATCAATGATGAGAAGTGCTGCAACAGAGACTGCTAAAGATATGAAACTAATTATCCTAGTATAATGTTACATTTTTTACAAGAAAAACTCCATTTCATCGGATATTTGCACAACTACTTACACATGACCAGGGGACTCCTGGTTGCCATAGGTGTCTCTATTCCAAGGATCTTGGACCTGAGCTGAAAACTGCAAGTTCCAGATCAAGTCTTCCACAGATGGACGTTGCGATGGTTCGTCTGAAAGACATCTTATGCATAGCTCTATTAATGTCCTAAGCGAACCATCTGAACATTCCTTTTGAACAGCTGGATCGATGATGTTTCTCCGAGCTATTTCATCAGCTGTCAAGCTAACTTTTAGCTGCAATATGAACAACCAAGAAAAGGTTTGAAAAATTAGTGCTTCAACTTGATGACATGAATATTCTTTTCATATATGGGAGACGTCATGAGTGATACTTACGATGTCTTTTGAGACATCTATATCATTTTTTGTATCGATTATCCGTCCGGCGATGAGTTCAAGTAAGATTACTCCAAAGTCGTACACATCGTTTTTCTCCTTGTTAATTAACCTGCATCCAGGAAGATACTAATGAGAGAAGGAATTCATTAAGATGAAGAAACTCCAGTTTTTCGTCCGTGAGAAAAGGTCTTGCTCTTTCAACAGGGGAAAAAAGAAAATTAAGACAGTTTAGCGCCAACATAAGAAATGGAATGAAGAAATAAATCAAAGTGTGAGGCACAAAATGACATTAACTAGTAGGCAAGCCACTTGCTGCTCCTAAAAAGAGTAGTGTACTATCTAGGAATCCCTTACATAGTCCAAGTCTATGGCCCTATACATGATCTTCAAGAATCTTAACTAGTAAAAAGAATGATGCTTTGTTGGTGCCTACCCCTAAAAGCAGGGCCGGAGATGTGGTGTCTGGAATTGGTCGACACCATATGTACGGCAATAAACTTTGACTCCCTAAAACCTTTTTAAACCAATTTGCATTTAGAAGTGTCACAGAGAAGTAGTTTCCAATAAGTGCTTCTGAAATTGGACCATAAAAGAGGATCAATGAAGACATAAAATATAGCAGTAGTAGTTGAGAATAATATCACTTACCTTTGCCCATCATTTCCCTTTGATCCACTGGAAGACAATCTGGTATCCTAAGAACAGTTGCAATAATGAAATAATGAATATTCAAGAATAAAATAAACGATAAAGAGAGAAAATATTAGAGAAAAGAGACTTGAATACCATTTTCTTGTTTTCAGTTAACAAAGGCAGATTGTATTTGCTAATCTTTACATGGAGATTCTGATCCAGCAAGACATCTGTTATCTTCAATTGATTGGAGAATATCCCTGGTACTATTCCGGTATGTAGGAACTGAATTCCCTTTGCTATCCCTAGTGCAGCTCCCATCCTCTGTGTCCACGTAAACTTTTGAGCTGAATTTGCTTCTACAAAACCAAGGGTTTGCAAAAAAGTCCAGAATAAGAAATCAGAACGACTGTCTTAAAGCCAACACATGCGTTTACATTCAAGCATCCGGCGAAGGAGAAATCCTGAGTTGCCTAATGTAGGAGAAGGTGATCAAAAGCATCGGTAGGTAGTTGCCCTGACTGAGGATAATCTGGTACACGTATCAAAACAATATGGAAGTTTGCAAAATTTCAAAGATGCTTGTTGGTTATAACGTCTATCTTAGGCGTTCAATGTACACCAAAAGTCATTTCCTTGGACTTTGTACAATCTATGTAACATGCTGTAAATAGTCAACTAGTAGCTAAAATTAAATGCTCAATTATCAATTGTTGTAGTTGTTATGCCAAATGATAACTTGCGAATCAGATGAAATTTTCTAGACTAGATACCTGATATGACCCCCCGCAGAGTCCCGTTTGGCACAAATTCAAAGACTATACATATTCGGCTAACACTTGAGTCATCTTGATAGCAGTCAAAGCAATGTCCAATAGTACTAACTAAATGACAGTATCTGATCTTTGAAATACGCCCTAGTTGATGAGTATAGGACTGGACGCTATGCCTCTTCCTCATCTTTATGCTTCTTATAGCAACCGCAGTGCCATCTGTGAGCCGTCCTTTGTAGGTCTCCCATCCAGAATACAAAAGAAACACAGTCAGCATTCACCATAGCTACAAGAATTGAGGAATGAACTACAGACCAGTGCATAGGCAGGGGCAGAGCTAGAAGTCGACCTACGGGGTTCGGCTGAATCTAGTAGCTTTAATCCAAACTCTATATTTGTATTAAAAAATTTATTAAATATGTACAAAAGTTATGTTTAGAACACAGTTATTAACACCTTATTTCGTTATGCTAGAATTTAGAACCCATAAAGTTGAAATCCTGGCTCCGCCTCAGTGCATAGGTACTAACATTGTTCAAATTGTCTTGCAGCATTTAGTAAAGAAATGCATACCTGCCCATTGGAACCTGCACCGATTAGATTTGATATATCAAAGTTACTAGTGGCCTCCCGAAGCTCATCCAAGACAAACGTTCGATAAGGAGGGGCCCCAAGCAGTCCCAACTTCCTCGTTTCAGAAATATACCCTGTCAAGAATTAAAGGTTAAAATACATCTTGAACTTTAGGCAAAGAACAGAGTTTCTTCCAATAACATAGTACCAGAAAATTTTCTGAAGCAAATTGATGTGTTCAATCTATATATAAAGAAACTCCCTTTGCAGAATAATGCATAAATTCAGATGTTTATACAGACTTTTCAAGTACATTGACAGAACATTAGATCTACAATTTCCAGGATCTACAACATTTCACAAGTTGAAATCATAAACATAAAATGCGTGAGAGAAAGAGCTTACTTGCATCATTAAGCAGCTTAAGAGTGTGAGCAGGAGAGACCTTTTCAAGTATCAGTTTTGTTTGAGGGGTTTTGCTAGCTTTCTTCTTGGCATACTCTCGTCTAACAACCACGAAAGCCAAACCGATTATCGCTATTCCTCCAACAAACCCTCCTACCATACTTGATGCAAGAACAGCTTTACCATTTCCCCCTTTGACCTTTTCCTTATGAGGCTCAATACTAACAGCCAAAGCTTCATTATGGCAAAATGAATAAGGATGTTGCCATTGCTCTCTATTCCACAAACAATTCCCAGAAAACAAAGCAATCTTAGAACCAAAACTAGGGTGCAAGCAAGCAGGCAACTCCCCTGTCAAGTAATTCGACGATAGATTCACAAATGAAAGCTCTTGACTACATGTCATATTCTTCAAAAGCTTCCCGGTTAATTTGTTTCCAGAAATATCCACATAGCTTAGTAATGGAAGTGATAAAATTGATGGTGAAAAGGGTCCAACAAGCTCATTAAAGGAAATGTCCAGTTTCTTTAACTGGTAACAGGAACTCAATTCTTTTGGTACCCCTAAACTGAACTTGTTCTTCCTAAGTACCAAAGAAGCTAACTTTTTTGGAACATTAGGGAAATTGGGTCCAAGATAGTTACTTTCCAAATCAAGAACTTGTAAATTTGACAGATTTTGAAAATTTGGAACTTGCCCAGAAAAATTATTAGCAGAAAGAGAAAGGATTCTTAGGGTTTGTAAATTGGACAAAGAATTAGGTAATGAACCATAAAATGAATTGTTCTTGAAACTCAAAACAGACAAAGAAGGAAGTGAACCTACCCATTCAGGAACTTGACCTGTGAACTTATTATCATCCAAAATAAGTGTCTGAAGGCTCTTCAAATATAAAATCTCTCCTGGAATCTCACCATAAAAGAAGTTTGAACTAATGTTGACAATTTCCAAAGAAGATAATAAGCCAATATTTTTAGGTAAAGTTCCTCTCAAACCCAAAGAAACTAAAGAAAGAACCTTTAAATTAGGCAAAAGAGCAAGATTGGAGAAAAGGGTGTCAGTAGAAAAGCCCCGAGGCAAATTAGGAAACCAGTTGTAACCAGAAACATGAAGCTGTGTTATGTTATCATCATAGCAGACAAGTGTTAAAGCAGTGTTTGGCTCACTGTTGCAAAAATCTGTGTTGTCACTCCAGCTACTCAAATCTCGTGGGAAGTTCAAAAGCTGCTTGATTTTCTCTATTGCTTCATACTGTGAAGATTCTAAGAACTGGTGTGAGTATTTGAACTGAAGAAACACCATGAATACTAGAAGCCACAATGAACACTGCATTGAATCTGCAATTCCCATAGCAAATTTTGCTGATTCTTTTCAGGGGCTAAAATTTTACACTTCAAAAAATGGTGGGGTTGAAGAAGCTGCATGCATTTTTATAGATTAAACTCACTAGAAAGTAGAGTGGTACATTTCTTGATAATTAATTTAGGATACCATGAACGAGAACTGCTCTGTAAGCACGTTTATGTGTAGTATAATATGGTTTTCTTTGTGTCTTTCCTAAGGTTTTGTTTGTACTTTCTAGGATGGGGAAAAATATATACAGCTGTATCCTCTAGCTTATTAGGAATTTAATCACATTCATGAACGATATTTACTACTATAAAAATTTTCTTTTACTTTGTACTATGATCTATGTACAGAAATTATTTGTTAGGTGCATAGACCATTCACAAGAGTTTAGGTTGCTATGTTATATTAGACCAGACCACGTTACTTTAATATGATTAAGTAATATACTAAAGTAAAATTAATCATTAATTAACTACTGTTTAAGTAATAAAAACGTATGTAGAAGACAAACATTGTGTTAGCATTGATTTGATATAAGCAATGAGTGATTTAATATTATTTATGACAATATTGATATTTACAACAACAACAACAATCCAATTGAATTCCGCTAGTAGGTCTGGGGAGGGTAGAGTGTACAGACCTTATTCTACTTCGGAGGATATTTTCGAGAGACCCTACCTCGGCTCAGAGATAATAGAATAATATTGATATTTAGGAAGTCAAAATAATATATTTTATTGCGATAGGAATTAATGAACGATATTTAGTACTTTACTAAAAAATACATTTTTACTTTGTATGATCTATGTACAAAAAATTTGTTAGGTGCACAGACCAGCCAAAATAGGTACGTTCCTATGTTCATAGTAACTACTGTTAAATAATAGAAGTATATGTAGAAGACACATGCGTTAGCATTGGATTACATTGCATTGCCAAATTTTGTTTATTTAAATTATGTATTAAAGTATTTAAGTACTTTGATAATAAAAATGTTCAGGTTTATATTTATGTAGCCAACAAAACATAGAAGTTTAACATTTTAGAAAAAGTGATGCCTGACTTTATATGGAAAATTAAATATTCTGACCCTTATATTTCGAATCTTTGGGAGGGTAAAGTCGGTACGTATAGAGACAAAACATGGCTGATCAATACTCAATAGAATTAAATTACAGTAAAATGTGTACATTATAATAAATTAGTATAAATAATTTTCTAAAATCATATAGTTGACCTCGTAAAGCGTAGGCAATGAGAACACAATTTTCAAGACAAACGGAATAAGCTGTGACAAAATCCCACAAATTAAATTCATAAGTTTTCTTACCAAAGAAATTTTGTCCTTTCTTCTGAATCTTACAGATTTTATGTCCCCAATATGCAGGTGTTTCTTGTAAAATTGAAGGGAAAAATACTTTAAAATTCTATCAAAGTTTCTTGTTTTCTTTATAATAAAGATTATTGTTATTTATTTAGACAAAAAGTTTAAGCCTATGAAAGGAAAACAATAAAAAAGAAAGAAAGCTTTCTTAATACATTATAACTATTTTAAGATAACTGCAGCAGAAGCCAACCTGAGTACGTTGAGATCTGTTAGTTCATCCGTGCAAAGACCAAAGATGAGGTTTGTTTAAAGGGAATATCAGACAGTAATAATGTTGATAATGATATCAGACAGTAATTAATCCAAAAATACTCACAAGTAGCTCTTATAACTAAAAGACCCAAGTGGGTATCTTCAGCATATGCACACAACTCAAGATTACTTTTAATGTATAACGCGTAATATTAGGCAAAAAAAATTCATAAAACATAACTCCCCCTCTCAATTTTATTTGTCCATGGTACTAAAAATATATTTTTATTTCTTGTCCACTATACTAAATCAAGAAAAAATATTTTATTTCTTATTTAATCCTTATCATTAACTACTTATTTTTCAAATCATTTTTCAAGACTTTTGGAAATACTACTATTGTTATTATGGGTAAAATTATAAAATATATATTTCATTTATTATTTCTTAAGGTACATAAAAAGTCTAAAATGTACGACTAAAAGTAAACATAGGGAGTACTTATTAAAATATGGAGTATAATATGTGTCCGATTTTCACATTGAGACCCAATTAAATTCAGCTTCGCTTCGAAAAGTTCTATATTGAGATAAAATACTCCCTAACATGTAATTTAATATCTAGAACTCAAACTTGAAACATATAGTTAAAAATAAAGGAATAGTTATCCCTCCACTCCCAATATACTTTTCAAAAATCAAATCATATACTACAATTTTCCCGAAATAAAAAAATGAGTCTATCACCAAAAGAAAATCCCTATTATAGTGGCCATGTCACATTTTTTGTCATTAACTGGAAAAAGCACTTTGGGAAAGTGACTTAACTTAAGGAAAATCTCGAACAAGAACAAAATTTGCATAACCAAAACTGTTTCAGTGTAGGTGTTGTCCCGAAAAGCAAAGGGATCTTTCCTTTTTCCTTATTAACTTTTTTTTTTTTCCCCGAAAACGACGTTTCTGAAAATATTCAGCAATTGGAAAATACGTATGGTCTGTAATAAAAATAGATTCTTCTCGGTTTTAATCTAGTAGGGTAGTACTTTTTCTGTTTTTTGCTACTTAACTATTCTTCTCGATATTCAGTAGTGATCTTACACTTTATGTTAAATGTGATAGTTTCTAATTCTATTTGATTTGTAAGATTACAAGGCAAGAAGTTAGGAGAGTAGTTTCTGTTGCCTGCTGCCCCCTCTGTTCTCTACTTTCAATTTCGAGCATTAAACAATACATCATTTACAGAAAATCATTTAGTTTAGACTCAAATTAAGCTGACATTTGGATATAAATTTGGTTGAAACTAAAAAAAAAAAAGTTGTGTTGAAAAATAAATTTTGAACGTTGAAATTGTGTTTGAACATGTATTTTACTTGAGTAAAAGTTAAAAAAAAATTGAGTGAAAGAAAAAATTTCATCTACCAGTTTTTTGAAACTTGAATTATTATTTTTTTCAAAAACTGATCAAATTCCATGAACAAATAATGTTTTCAATTATAGATTTTTTAAAGTTTAAAAAATTTATATCCAAACGGGAACCGAATATTTTGCATGAACCTAAACTCTTACACAAATATCAAATACTATTGAACCACAAGCCATTAACAACGGAGTTTTCATTAAAAATATTTAAAAAAACTGAATTTGAAAATATTTTTTTCGTTTTATAGAAACAAATCAGACAAACACCTCTTTTGTTTTTGTATAAAAAGCACAACACTTGAGTTTGCGAACTCCATAGCAAACACCTCTATTTTTTTCGTGCAATATCATTCACATGCCGAACAGTTCGAAATTTAGAAGACGAAAAAATTGAGCGGAGAATGAGGACAGAGCATAATAATGTGATAACGTCCAAAGTAGTATCACATGTCACAAAAAATGAAAAAAGAGGTACTCCGTTGGTCACCGCAAAGACATGCACGTCAATGAATTGAGAGCAACCTCAAAAGTTGTCTATTTCCCTCTGTTGTAAAAGTTAGAAGAGACTCAGTATCAGATATGTACAGAATACAGAAATCCAGTGCTACTATATGTTACATCAGATTAGTCACGGATGTGCTTAGCTTGTGACTTGTGAAATACCGCTCCTTATGCGCCCTACCAAACGATCCCTAAGTGAAAATCAGCAATACAATAATACTTCTTCCGTTTTAATTTATATGAATCTATTTCTTTTTTAGTTTGTGTCAAAAAAATAATCATTTTTCATATTTGGAAACAATTTATCTTTATGCAATATTTTATGGCCACATAAAATATATGTGTCTCATTTTACACCACTAGTTCAAAGATCTTCTCTCTTTTTTAAAACTCTGTGTCCAGTTAAATAGGTTCATATAAATTGAAATAACATGAGTACTATTTATTGGGAGGGAATAGAACTGCTGGTTCGGTTCTTGTGATGCTTTTCATTTGGGAAGATCAAAATATAAGTTTACTTCACTTGATGCTTTTCTTAGCCCAAAAGCCAATACAAAAAAGAATAATAAGATGAGACATTCCATATATATACACATAAGCTAGAATTAACTCATATATATTGTCAGTAGTGACGGAAACAGAATTTTCAGCAATGAGATTCAAAAAATAAAAAAAAATAAAAATGAAAAAATTAAGAGAATTCAACATCTAATATATATATATATATATAAAACAAAAAAAATTTAACCTTATATGTACTGTATAATTTTCGACGAAGGAGGTTCAGAACCCCTTCCGCCCATAATGGACAATGTAACAAATTACTTATATATATCAGGCTATCAGCCCTTATTTAAAATCCAACCGTTCATAATTCTATATCAAACATAAGTTGGTAATTGAAGACTAAGGTAAGTAACATGTTACAACTAATTAGTATATATATATAACCTCATTTGTTTTGATATTTTTTTTCTTTACAGAACAAAAAGGTTGTTACAGAGAGGGTTGACTGTAACAGTCTCGTTTGTTCTGATATTTTTTTTGTTTTTATAGTGAATGGATGTTATACACCTATAACAGCATTTGACGTTTAAATATATTTTAGCCGTTATAGATCAAAATTATCCAAATATCAATTATTTTTTCTTTGCTAATGTTACATATAAAAAATAAAAATTATTCAAATTTAAAATCTCAAAAGATATGTGTATTTCACTAGTTAAATATTGAAGAAAGCTAATATATTAGTAATAAATTCATAAATAAATTATAAAGATTTAAACTCTAAGGCACATATTTAAAGTTACTTAGAAAAATAAATTCTTTCAAGATTAATGAAAAAACTTTGTAATTCTAGCTTGTTTCGTAGATTTAATTCTCTTACTAGCGAAATAACACTTGAATTGCTGAAGATTCGTATCCAAATTTTCAGCAAAAAGGTATCCAATAGCTTTTATTTGAAGACAATCTAAGAGCTTAACAGTTAAATCTTCTATCTAAATATGTTTTGCCATTTGTCAATGGAAAAGATATCACATACAATTCTTCAAAATCTTATGTCTTATGCAAAATAGAAACTTTGGGCAATGAAAAATATTGTGTGCCTATTTTTAGAATTATTATTAGTAACCTTAAAATTCTATATGGATGTTATAGAGGGGTAGTTTTACAAAAAGAGTTCTGCTATAAACATGGTTGTTGTTGTTACAGGTAAAAAACTGTTATATATAGAGAGGTAAAATATAACTTTAAAAATCGGTTAGGAGGAAAACTTGACTTTTATAGTGAATGACTGTTAAATAGGGATGTTGTTATAGAAATGTTTGACTGTATAAGTTAAATCACAATAGCTAGATAGATGAAATAGCAGATTTTGGGTTGCATAGTATAAGGCCTTCAGTATAATTGATTAGAATGGAGGCTGGTTTAATTCCCTTCATTTATCTACTTTCGTTGGAATAACTTCACATACTTTTGAGTTTTGATGGATAAGACAAAAGAGGCCCAAATTGAAGACATGGTAAATAGGTTTTGTACAAGATATTTGGTGATCTAAGTTTTAATTATATAAAAATTATATTACTCGTTCACGATTACATATATCATTGACATTTAACAAAGGTAAAGTTCATAAGAGAATCAAAGAGGTGGGAAAATATGTAATTAAAAATTATCCTTGGTTCTTTTGTGCACCTATGAGGTCTTTGTTTTGTATAGAGATTGAGTGTAGTTTGTAGATAACTATATTTTGGTGGAGGTTCTTTACTTTTTACTTGTATATTATAGTTTTTCCAAATTAATAAAATTATTTATCTTATCGAAAAGAAAATTCATAAATTATAATAACATGAGATGAATCATGGGGATAGGGGTCATTTGAATTCATTAAGTGAGGAAGATGGAAATAAGGTGCTGTGGCTTCAATTCAAAGAGGGGTGCACTAATTAGAGTAACTTAACTCGTACATCATTGCCAATTATATCAACAATTTTGTTATAACTCTTTATGATTTCTGTCTCATATCTTACTTAAGTTATTTTTGAATATTGGCATCAGATCATACGATATGTCAGCCAATATAATAACGTAGTTATTATGTTCTATCAAATGAAGAATTGTGATAGAGATTGCAAATGTGGACCATCTTTTTGCAGTAGTTCAGAGATTCTAAGAGAGAATAACTGGGCACAAGAATAGACTTATTTTGTACTTAAAAGATAGTGAAGGAAAAAGGTGCTTGGAATCCCAGTTACTACTAAAGCAAATTTAGTCACTAATCAAGTACTCTTGTCTCTGTAATTCATTGCATTTTCTGTCAAGAAAGAGGATGTAGAGAGGGGAGAGGGTCCAAGATATATAAAAAGATAAAGATAAGAGACTAGTGCTTAACCCAATTTGTTTTTCTCTTCTCATTTTCAAGAGCTTTAATCAAATAACTATTTTAAAAGTTAAATGTACGTAGATTTTGAGTCGTGCCTTTATTGGTTGAGGGTAAACACCTGATACCACTAAATCCTTTATATATACAAAATGCCCAGAAAGGCTTTTATATATGCTAATGATCATGCGAAATTTTCCATAACTGAATATATAGGAGGCATGTTGTGCTGCTGCATCCCCTCAATATTGGGCGGCCCTCCCACTCCTGGTACGTTGGATCCAGCGCGCATACTGAGCGGTGCGAGAAGTACTTACGAGGTCGGTTGTTCCGCCTATATTTTCTATATATATATATATATCCTCTTGACGATTTCTCACCCACACCTCATGATACTTGGGGTCATATGGTAAAGTCTGCCCACAGATAAAAGGTTCGCCTGCAACAGGCACGACAAGGTAACATTCCTAATGTTAACTGATGATATACTTACATATTGTAAAAGAACAGGCACACATGATCCAGTGAACAAGGGACACAATAGCGTATAAGACACAGTCACACAGCTTTCCTAGTAGTTGCCAGCATCTGCTTCCACTTTGTATTGGTAACTTGGAATATAATCCATCTTAGAAGACATAGAATACCCTTTCGTTTGGTACGCAGACTAAATTATCCTAGAATTATAGTCCTAGGATTATAATCCCTCGACTAATTTATCCCACATAAGAGGTGGGATAGAATAATACCAGGTTTGATGGGATAAGGTGGCATAGGATAAGATGGGATATCCAGGATTAAGTTTGGGACAAAGTTTATACTATGTTTGGTCGGTGGTATAAATTTATCCCGGGATAAATTTATACCACCGACCAAACATAGTATAAATTTAGTACCACACTTTATCCCACCTTATCCCGCGTACCAATCGACCCCACTGGGCTTCATTATGGTTCAGTCCAGTGCCAAAAACAGTGAAAGCTCATTCCAAGGCTATTTGGTCTGAACTAAAATTCTTGAACATTCTTCAAATTCCGTCTAGAATCACAAAATTAAATCAAGCATCTCCAAAGTTATAAATTTCAAATGCATAATAAGGATAATCAAAAAATTAATAAGTGATGTAGTGTCTAAAACTACAAAACACTAGGCTAGAGCTGATGCAGACGAGAGCAATATATACATGGAATTCCATACCTCCATTAACCTTATTTTCAACATCCTAGTAGGAATCAGGAAGCACGCACAGAACCCAGGGTAATTCTGCACAAATTAAGGTCAAAGAAAACAATACTTAGCCTTCAACTTCCTATGCAAGAAATTCTTAAATGACAACACAATCAGGAATAAGAAAAGATAGTACGAGTATTAACAATATTTTGTAGCTTATAAATGTGAAATTACTAACTGATATGGTGCAATTGACGACATTATAGGTTACATTAGACATCCACGGAAAAATGAACGACAATGTGAATAAACCATATAGTTCAGTTTAGAACATTTGAGTCAATGTTATATCTGAGAGATAGAAAATAGACAAATAGAAAGACGAGTTTTCTTTAAACCATGACATATGTCCTAATTATTTTCATCATTTTGCTAATAGGGGGGAAGCATTTCACAAGACTTGTTAACTGACAACAATTTGAACATACATTCAAATATTTTCAGAAATGCGGCTCAAATCCGATGTAAAAAACTGTATGCTCCAAAAGAAAGAAAAGAATGAAAAAAGAAAAAGAAAAATGAAGTCTCTAGATTGATCAATAAATAAGAATTTATTATCCTTGGATTAAAAAGTCTTAAGGAATTGAATAGTCAATAACAAAAATAGGCTTACCAAATTCAGATAGGAGAATGTTTGTTGACTAGCTGCTTGAAAGGAGAAAATACATTGACTTCTCTTCGCCGGTTCTGGTAGAGTTTCCCGTGGTATTGACGCATTTTGAAAAACGTTGAATTTGAAAAGTATAATCTAGTGCAGGCTGCGATCACAAGCTTGTGTGATAGCAACAGAGAGTAGGCTAGTGGAACAAGGACGTGCTCCTACAATCGCATGATATGAGCTGCGATTGTAGGGGCCGTAATCGCAAAATTGGCTTCGCAATCACAATGTTGCACTACCCTAGGACCAATAGTGTTTTGTCGCGATCATAAGCATAACTTATGCTATCACAGCTACAGTGATAGCATATACAAATCAGATTTTTGAATTTTTCAGATTTCGTAGAGATTTTTTAACCACAAAGTCTCAGGTAAAAGATAGTTTGACCCAGGGTCAATGTCTACCTTGTGCGGATAGAGAGGTTGTTTCCGGTAGACCCTCGACTCAAAGCAAGCATGCATAAAGAAAGAGTTCCACTTTATACATTTTTCAGAACGGCTGAAGCAAGAAGAGATGTTTTGAAATCAGAAAAAAACATGTCTTTTGTAAAGAATAGGTGCCTTCAAAATTTGTAATTTTTGTATAGGAGAAGCATGGTAGAGAATCTATTTCAGTATGTGGATTTTATAGAAGTTTCGAGAATGTAACTGTAACAGCTATGCTGTAATTTTGTATGCTTTTGAGAACCTCCTAGGTATTTATTTAATGAAATTTACTTCATCTTATATATAATATTTTAAAAAAAAAGATGATTCCGTCTTTGGTTGACCAAATAAGTAAAACAATTAGAAGATAGTCCCAAAGAAAATATGCACTTAGCTATTAGAAGCACCGAAAACACCAAAACTAGTGTCGAAAAAACTAAGCAATTAGCTATTCGCAGCAAGGAAAATACCAAAACTAGACACTATGTCAGACCTTAACGGTTGTTCCATAATTCCTACGTCTCCTCCCTTTCCCCTATAAAGTTTTCACCTAAAGGACATTATTGAAGGAGGGCCCTATATCTAACAATTACCCTAGCAAGGCTACACATAGGTGTTATTGGCACATTCCTGCCATGATTTCCATGTTCCTGGTGCTCTTTATTCTTACTCTGTCTAGAGACACAACACCCCCCTAAAGTACGACTCAAGAAGAGAAACAACGTGGAGTACCATTTAGCTTGAAGATGAAGAGACCAAGCACTTCAACCATATAACCGTCCTTGCAAAGAAACTGTTGTATCATGAAACAAAAAGGAAAAAAAGACTAACAAGATCTCCAAGCACATATGGTTCATAGATGTTCGTAATATGCAATGTCTTGCTGTATATTGGATAGAAGAAACAGAATTTAACAGCACTTGAGAAACATGCATAGGGAACTCTTACTAGTTAACAATTACAGGAATGTCTTCATCTAAGCTTTTCAACCTAGGTTGTTGTTGCATCCCCTGTACCTTCTAAAAGGGCCAAACTAGGCTTTCAATGTAGATCTTTGCCACAAAAAAAGCATAATAGTTGGTAACCCTTGGATATCTGATCGCGTCATCCTTTGGATTGTAAATCATGAAAACCGATCCAATCTCAAACAAAATTTCGCCTTCATTTGAAATACAAAAGGGTGGATGAAAGAGATACTCAGAATCAAAAGGACACTTGATGGTAAACATCTTTGTCCAAGATTCTTTAACCTCATAGTCCTTCATAACCCATATATCCGTATGAGTCTTCCGACTATTACAAATCACAGAAAGATCACCTCCCAAGACTCCTAGGCACGGACTAAAATCAAAATCTCTTTCTCCATAGCAGGGTTTCTCCACCTTCGCCCATTTCCCATCAGCTACATCAATAGAAATGATGTCCCAACCGTTATAAGAAGGAAAATCGCGAGAGGTAGCATTAGCCCAATGAAGCTTCCCATTCACAAATATACCCTACTTAATGAAGAGCATCCCAATTTGAAAATCATCCATACTTCTCCAAGAATCACTATCTAGACTATATAATTTGACCTCAACATTATGCAAACTGTTATAACTCATATTGCGGCAAATACCCACTACCTTTTAATCATCATGAAGCACATCATATCCAAAACCAAACATGAAATAGTAACCAGCAACACCAGAATCAGGCAATTTCTTAAACTTCCTAATTGAAGGATTCCAGATAAACAAGTCATTTTCCTCAATGGCAAGACAAATCAACCCATTAACAGAACCCACAATCTCAACAGATTTTCGGGGTTTTCTCATAGGATAATCCAAGTAAGAAGCCCTAGTAAAAGATTGATAAAGTAAAGAACTAAGGGAACAGTCATTAAGATTGTACTCAGGTGGATCTAACCTCATCATAAGCCTATGGTGGATGTAGTCCTTGTTATTAGCTAGAGATTAAAGCAAACCAAGATTTTGAAACACACCTGAATTTTAAAAGGGATTTCACTGGTAGCCTTGAGAGGATTTCGTTGATCAATTCTGTAGGCAGAATAGGGATTTTAAAGCTTGAATCTGAAGTGAAAGAACGATGACCATTGTTAGTCAGTTTGCTCCATTTTGGGTGTAGACGGGAGCCAGCATCTCCCACAGATTCCATAGGGGTTGCAGAAATAGTTAACAGCTTTTGATGTTTTCGACTTTTCTGGACGTCAGATTGCTCTTGAAATTTTAAAGTCGGCTATTTATAAAGCTGCAAGCATTTAAAGTTCATAGGTCAGCCTTTCAAATATATGATAAATGTATCTCACTTTTTTCGACACTCACTTTTGGTCTTCTATAATTTTCAATTGCAAATCTTCTACATTTACTCAAGTTTGACTCTTCAAATTTGTAGATACAATTTTTGACTTATAAAGTAGGGGTGTACAAAGAGGTGGAGTTGATATGACTCCTTAAAAGAAAAAAGAGATGGGTATATAGTTACGAAGTCCTTGAGTTAAAAATGAAATTACTTTTTTACCCTTCCTATCTTAAGACCCTATTTAATTACAAAAAAAAACCAGACAAAGCACATAAGAAACGGTGGCAACTTTTGGTAATTTGAAGAAACCATTTCAGTTTGGAAGAAACATGAAACGTTCTGAACCAATAATTCTCTTTATTCCATTGGCTAGAAACATAGATTTCGGGAATTGGAATAGTTTCGTTTTGTCAAATGTGACTTGTGTGTAAAATTTGAGGTCAATCGGACGTGATTTGATATGTTTCGGCATCGGTTGTGGAAGTTTGAAGTTCAAAGTTCATAGATTTCGATTTGAGGTGTGATCCGTCGTTTTGATATTGTTATATGTGTTTTGAGGCCTCGAGTAGGTCCGTATTGTGTTATGGAACTTGTTGGCATGTTCGGACGGGGTCCCGAGAGGTTCGGGTGAGTTTCGGACGAGGTTCGGATCATTTCATTGTATTTTTGGATTTTTGCTAAGCTGTTGGTTCTGGTGTGATCGCACCTGCGGCTGGTTTGCGCAAGTGCGATGATCGCAGAAGTGACAGAGGAGTCGCAGAAGCGTGAAGGGGAGCTGGGCGTGAGGATCGCAGGTGCGGATGCTTGGACGCACTTGCGCAACCGCAGATGCGATTCAAGTGCGCAGAAGCGCGATCGCAGAAGCGGCTTAAAGACCGCACGTGCGAGGGATTGTTGGGTCAGTTGTTTTCGCAGAAGCAAAATTTTACCGCAAAAGCGGTGGTCGCAGATGCGACAAATTGCCCGCAAATGCGGAATCGCTGGGCAGAAGCTATATTATCGAGGGTTTTGGTTCTTTCTTCATTTTGGGAGCTATGGAGATCAGATTGAGACGATTTTTGGAGCAATTTTCATCACAAGGATTGGGGTAAGTATTTTCTACTCAGTTTTGGTTATATTTCATGAATATACCTTCATTTTTGGTAATTGGATTGTGAATTTTAAAGAGTAAATTGGGGGTTTTGGCCTAAAGTTTCATAATATGAATTTTTGAGTTTTGAATATCGATTTGGAGTCGGAATTGAGTGAAATTAGTATGGTTAAATTTGTAATTGGATGGGTTATCGGATTTTGTGAGTTTCGTCAGATTCCGAGATATGGGTCCCACGGACGATATTTGGAGTGTAATTTCGGATTTTGTGATAAAATATTAGTATTTTGATATGGAATTAATTCCTATAAATTGTGTGGACTGAATCAAATTTATTGTGGCTAGATTCAAGCCGTTCAGGAGTTGATACGTGCAGAATGGAGTTTCTGGAGCATTGTTTAGCTTGCTCGACATTGGATTCGTCTTGTTCGAGGTAAGTAACTCTTCTAATCTTGGAGCTGAGGGTATAAACCCTGAATATACGTATTATGTGAATTTTTTGGAGGTGACGCACATGCTAGGTGACGGGCATGTGTGCGTGCACTATAAAAATTATGTAGTAATTATTCCGTAAAATTTTGTAGTCAAATAATCTTGGCATTTTCCATGCAGTTTTATGTGTTAAAGAAATTGAGCTGGGAATCATATTAAAAATTATGCTAAGGCTATGTGCTAGTATTATTGAGACCCAAAGATATCATATTTCTGTGAATTATTTGTTTAAATTAAAATTTCACACTCAGTCATATTCATTTCATTGCATATCATATCTTAGACTCTATTGTTATTTATTGATGCATCATATCATCATTTTGGGCTAGTTTCATGACATTGTGAGC